CGTGATTATTGTTTTTGCCATAATCGAGCAGCCCTAATGGCAGTGTTCAAAAAATACTTGCAGCTGGAAAACTCGTAGCGCGGATCCAATGTTTTTATCATGTTCTTAAATCCCACTCCTACTGTTCGCACGGGACACAAATCTTTAACCAAGTGGTACGTCACTGCATCTGTCATGCTGTTCCATCGTCTGCTGTCTCTGTCGTAAGGAGTGAGTTTTGTGAGTGTTTCTGTTAGCGTTTGCTGCCTGGAAGAAGCACTAGCCGCTGCAGCCGCAGGCTTTGTAGCTCTAGCTGCCAGCTGGCTCTCATTGTATTGTTTGGGATGCCTTCTTTTCAAGTGATTAAACAAGTTTGTGGTGTTGCCATCACTTGCCTTGACGCTCTCCTTGCAAACTTTGCGAATGACGTTCCGCTGCTCTTTGTCATCTGGTGAAAAACCAAACCAGTTCCATATAATAGGGATGGGTACCTTTGACATTTGAATCGATCCGGTACTAATTCCCGGTACCTACGAATCGATACCGGTACTTAACGGTACCAATTTTCGATACTTTTGAGTGTTTCATATTTTGATTCTCTTTTATAATTAAATATATATTTTTCTCAATATATAACAATATTTGATAAGTATCACGATAAATAACATACAACTGTTTGTATTTTAACATCGTCCTTGTAGTTTTATAAGTTGATAATTAAACTGAAGCAAACATCTTTACTGTGAACTAAATTTACTGTGTATCTTCATTCCTTTGGCCATCCTTTTTCATTTGATTTTTCCCACTGGGAAGTTAGAATTTCCGAGGAGAAAGCGAACGCACCATTAGCTGATAACAATGGTGGCAATGGAAGCTAACGTGTCTTTAACAGTTTATTTAACTGCTGGAGCAGATTAAAACGATGATGCCTCACACTTAGATCGTTGTCGCTGGTTTCATCTTCACCCAATCACCCGTCGCATTTAGTAAAGTGAAGCCAAACTTTAGAGCGCGTTCATGTTCATCTAGTCGGAAATTCGGAGTTCCCAGGAGAAAGCGAACCCACCATTAGCGAAACGGAAGCTAACAAATCAAGCTAACGTTATCTTAAACATTTTATTTACCTACCAGAGCAGATTAAGATGAGGATGTCTCACTTAGATCGTTGTCGCTGGTTTCATCACCCAGTTACCCATCACATTTAGTGAAGTGGACCCAAGCGTTTGCGTGCGTTCTTTCTACCATGCTGCTCTGTTTACAACTCGCTCACAGGGACCGACGACATACCGCTCTTGCACATGCGCAGCTTTCTTGGCAAGTTCTCGTTATGAAGGACGGGTACTGAAACGAGGCACCGTTTGAAATGACGTGAATCGGTGCTCGGTCGGTACTATAGAAAAGGCGTTCCTCTTCGGAACGAAAACCTCGTTGTCGCTCTCAGCCGCGGCCGAAGCCATGTTTGTTCACACACAGGTGAAAACAAGCGGGGGCACTAATATATTACTATGACTCACTCTGATTGGTTAAGGGTCAAACAAAGGCGTGTCATTCGCCTGAGGTAAGTTCCCTTTTCATTCAGAGGCAGAATTTCAACAGCAGAGCTGTGAATCGTGATAAAAAGGTCTCTCAAAAATGACAGACCGTCAGATGTGTAGATCGTAAAACGGTCTAAAATCGTCATATCGCCCAGCCCTAGTGAATAGATCTCTCCAATGAATGATTTGTGAAGCCAAGTATAGTGGTCACGTGACTTGTTTTTATCCAAATAGTTTTTTGTTTTGTTTGTTTTAACAATCACGCCCCTCCACCGCACGGCCCAAACTTTCCGCACTGCGCACCAAGGACATTTTCTAACCACGCGGACGGTCGGACGTGGAAAAACATGGCGTACTGGCAAGAACTAGTATGGCAGAGGTTCGTAAATACAGACATTTGTATGATTCAGCTCTCAAAGATCACAGTGATCAACATGTTGTTAATAATTCTTGGAGAGAAATAGCTCGCACTGTCGGAAAAGACGAGCACGCAGTTAAAAAATGCTGGAATGCCATGTTGTAAACAACAGTAATTTTTACTTCTATGGTGTAGTGTTGGATGCATGCCGTAGAGCTCCACGCTGCCCCCTACAGTTTGGGAGAATATTGGCTCACCACAGAGACAAGGTGCATGAACCATAAATGCTGCAAGTTGTGAAGCGCGTTCCATCCGCGAGCCGCATCACCAAGCGGAAAGTAAATGTGTCAAGCATAAACCAAGCTTTAAAGTCCCAAAGTCATCGTCACACACTGGTGAAGTTACGCCCTGCATTTGACCCGTCCCCATGGGGAGCGGTGAGATTAAGCTGTGGGTAGGGATGGGTACCTTTGACATTGGAATCGATTCGATACTAGTTCCCGGTACCTTGGCAGTGTTTCCCCTAGGAATTTGTCCAGCTGTGGCGGGGGGGGGATTATGACAAGTCTCTAAATAAAGTAAAATTTTCCAGTGCAGAGTGGAGACAACCCATAAAAGCACTGATTTGATCTCATTTCAGAGAAAAATAGAACAGGTCAGATGCACCTAATAAATAAAATTACTAACAAACTCAGGAATCTGTTGCTTCACTGTTCTGGTGCTGAGAATATCACTAATGCGGATCAAAGGAGATACACAGATGAATGCACCTCTTATTTATTATTTGGAAATTATTGGGCGTGGTTTACATCAATACATTATTTTAAATCTGAAATTGATATGGATTGAGATTTTTTCTATTGATACACGGAATTTACAGAATCATTTTAAATGTTAATAGGGGAAGACTGCAGGAGGGAGCGGTAAAATACAGGGGGTCCCCAGCAAAAACAAGAATCTTTACGAGTCTGATGAAACCCGCTGGTTTTCCATCAGGCAGTCACGGGGCAGCTCCAACGACCCAGTGGCTGTGCTGGGTCAATGTTATCGAGCTCAGTCCGGCTCGGCCGTGAACGAGCCGAGGCGACGTCGTGCTCTACTTAAGAAGAGGTGTTATTTTCCCTCTTCAGAAGAAGCGTCCAACGTGTTTTTGCACTTTCTCCGAGACATGTCACATCGCTAAGTTGTTAGCGTCACGTGCTAACAGGTCAATAGTGCAGCGTAGCCTGCTGGAGGTTTTAAGGGTTCAGATGAAAACACCCGACCTCTCAGGCTGCTCACACATCGATCTTAAGTTGTCGCTGTTGCGCTCACGCAGTAATACAGTATTAGATGCGGTTAAAGTCAGTCATGAAAAAATAAATAAATTTTACATGAATAAGTGATTAGGGCTGAAACGATTCCTCGAGTACCTCGAATAATTCGAGTACAAAAAATCATCGAGTCAAATTCTCTGCCTCGAGGATTCGTTTAATTCATATTTAATTAATTCGTGGCTTTGCAGTCGCCCGTGGTCATGTTTCACCCGGACTGAAATAAGTGACGCACATGCCCACTGGACTGCACACGCGAGTAGCGAATATAACTTAACTTTCTCTTAAGCCATGGCGGACAACGTGGACCCCGGTGGAGTGCGAAAAAGACAGAAAATGTCAAGATGTGGGACCATTTTTCACGTCGTTAGGCGGAAAACGTAGTCCAGTGTAAATACTGTAAAATGGATTTAGCCTACCACAACAACACATCCTCCGTGCTGCAGCACCTGTAAATGTCACTTCTGCAAGCGGACTCGGAGCCTCTACAAGATAATGCATTTTAGCCTGTATTTCTATATATTCTGCGGACACTGTGCGACTTTTTCGTTTGTAGCACTCAGTTTCAGCTCACACCGTACGTCTGGTAGCAACACGTCGGACTTAAAATGTGCTAAAAAATAGCATTTTTACACAAAACGTCGGACTTTTTATTGTGTTATTGATGTTTGTTGTCCCTCGGGATTGCTGCAGGAGGACACGGGTATTTATGAGAGGAAAACGAAAGAAAGTAAATAAATGTTTTGTGATCAGTATAATTTGACATAACCACAGCAAACATGCTTTCTCGACAATCCTTGTTATTGTGTGAGAAAAAAAGTGTTGAAATTAAAACGGACGTGTGTTAATAGGGAAACAGCCGGCGAGCTGTTTGCGCATGCACCGTGAGCGGTTCTGGTTCTGTTTGGGCCGCAGCCGCTCGCAGCGCTACTTCAACAGTTATCCTTCTAGTTTCTGTCTGGCTTGCAGGCTAGCAGATTCTCGCACGAGGGGAAAATCTGCCCAGGTTGTGTACTTATTTTTTGCACAGCCATTTGTTTACTGTAAAGTAAAGTTGAAGTGCTGAAGTTTTGAAAACTAATTTTGAATAAAACTTGAAGAGTAACTGGCAATTGCTTGCTCATTTTAACAGGTCTTTCATAATTACAACATGCTATTTGATATAATGGTTTACAAATACAAAAGGGTAATTTATTAGAGTACTCGATTAATCGAAAAAAATATTCGATAGAGTACTCGATTACAAAAATATTCGATAGCTGCAGCCCTATAAGTGATGCTTAGCCTGGTGGGGGGAGGAGAACCTGGCCTAAAAAGCACTGGAGGAAACCCTGTCAAGATTGTCAACACTCCTTTATCTTAATGCTATTGAAACATGTAAACCAAAAAGCATCATATCCACTGCTACCTTTCTAATTTTAAACTCAGTAACTTATGCTGTAACTGCACCTTGCCCTGGCTGCTCCTCCTTGCTGCCCGCTGGCTGTGATCACAAGCGACAACATAGTAGTTCCTGCTGCTTCTTCGGGAAACAGCGCCAAAAAAAAAAACTTGGGATCTTGTAGGCGTGGCGGTGGGATTTCAGCCATGGTGGGCCGCCACGGCTACGCCAATGTAAGGAAAACCCTGTTTTGTACCTCAGAGAAATCTCAACACCCACACTTTTAAACACTGTGTATGTGAACGGGTTATGCTCTATGAGACTGCAGTCACATAGAGCGCCCGCCCCTCCCTACACACAAAACTGCAGCCGGGAGCTCAGTCCGCCCGGCCCATCCACGCGCACGCACGCACGCGCATGCACGCACGCACGCACGCACACACACACACACACACACACACAGTAACGGATCTCTCTGTGCTTGCTTCACTGTTGCTCACGTTTCTTCAGTGCTCCCTAGGTTTTCTTCAGCTCGCATCTTTTTCAGTTTAATATTTAAAGTTACTTTTTCGTAACGGACGTGGTGCATTTGACAAGACAGAGCTGAAAATGGCTTGTGCTGCGTCGGTCACTGCCTCCACTGCGGTCGTTTTTTTTTTTTTATTATTATTATTTTACCCCCCCCTCTCTCTCACACACACACCTCAATCAAAATTGTTTTGTTTAAGTGTGTGTGGGAAAAATGCCAACAACGTTAGGAAAAAAATCAGTTTAATCAAAATAAAATAAAATAGTTCTAGCATTTCATATTTCCTAGTTCCTACTGCATGAGTTCAGATGCATTAATTCATGCACTTAAATATTAATGTTCTGATTTTACTGAAAAACTTGTTCTGTAATAGTTCCTTTACTGTTGTGATCATCTCAATTCTGAGGCTGCTCTGTAAATATTTTTCTAATAAACAATACACATAGCAACTTCTGATCAATCCATATCAATTTCAGATTTAAAATAATGTATTGATGTAAACCACACCCACTAATTCCCAAATAATAAATAAGAGGTGCATTCATCTGTGTATCTCCTTTGATCCGCATTAGTGATGTTTTCAGCACCAGAACAATGAAGCAAAGAAACAGATTCCTGAGTTTATGTTAGTAATTTTATTTATTAGATGCATCTGACCTGTTCTATTTTTCTCTGAAATGAGATCAAATCAGTGCTTCTATGGGTTGTCTCCTCTCTGCACTAGAAACATGTACTTCATTATAATGTTCACTGTAATGCATCTTGATGTTCTTAACCAGGGGTGGACCTTTAAACCGCCCGAGCGCCAATGGCGCTAAATTTTCTCGTCGGGCGGTAAAAACTTGACGACTTACCGCCCGGGTGGCGCCCAAACCTTCTTTGTCATTTACACACCGGCTTTCACCATCATGGCCGCGCCCTGTTCGCGCACGTGAACCTGCCTCTAGTCACGTACTGCGCGTACTGCACATGCACTTGTACGTGCAGTACGTGCAGTTCGTGACTAGAGGTGTGCAGTACGTGCACGAATCGTGCACGTACTGCACACCTCTAGTCACGTGAACTATAAGTTCACTATAAAAGACGGAGCGGAACCACGCTAGAAACACACAAGCATACAGGAAGATGGCGACACCACACAGGCATGGGATTTCTTGATGAAACCTCCGGCAAAACGCTTTAAAACTGGTGAGGAGAGGCGAGACCTTTCGAAACGGTATGAAGCGGAGAAGCGTGTGCGGAGGTGGAATGATTCTTGGCGGTTTAAAGAAGACGGGAGGCGCAGAGGATGGCTCGAGTACAGCAAAGCGGAGGAGGTGATGTACTGCGTTGTATGCCGGAAGTATGCAACGACAAAATCGAGTTTTGTTGAGGGAACCAACAAATTCAAACTAGAATACGTGAAAGACCACGAAAAAACAGCGAGCCACATGAAGGCAGAAAAGACTGCTCTTGCTAATGCAGCAACGGTAGGAGAGTCGCCAGCTGCAAAGGCCCTCGTGGCGATGACTAAAGCACAGCAAGACAAACTGGAAAAGTTGTTTCGTACAGCTCACGCCATTGCAAAGAAAGGAAGGCCATACACCGACTTCAGTTGGATGTGCGAGTAAGTATTATTTTTTGCTTAACAAATTCTCAAAATACTGGGTTTGTTCTGTTAGTTTAACGATGTGTTTTTGTCCATTTCATTGTTTGATGGAGAAAAGAACCAGAAAACATGCACTGTCTGTAAGTCATCTTTGATTTATTTTTTAAAAATAAATTCTGTTCCATCTTCTTTTTTTTCAGATTTTTATTAAAGATTTTCTTAAATGTTCCTTTAATTATTTTCACCTTTTCTTCATTATTCCATTTTTTTTTCACACCTTTTCTTATTCCGTTTTTATTTTTATTTTTTTTTTACTGCCATCGTTCCAATGTGAGAGATATGTGCATTAGCACAGTAAAGACTGGCTGTCAAAATTGAATGTATGAAATGTAATTTGCTTTTTCTTTCAGTTTAGATGAGCAGAAGGGCATGGAGATAGGCGAAACATACCGAACCAGAAAGCAGGCCAAAACATTCATTGGGTACATAGCCCAGGCAGAGAAGGAGAGTGTGCAAGAAGAATTTGCAGCTGGAAAGTTTCTTTCTCTGATGTCAGATGGCTGTGCTGACAGTGCAGTCATTGAAGAAGAAATCATCTATGGCCGACAAGCAGTTAAAGGACAAATCTGTGTCAAGTTCCTGGGTATCGAGGCAGTCGCAAAAGCTAATGCAGAAAACATCACGTCTGCCATAACAGCCGGTGTGTGTAAAGGTCTTGGTGTGGAGGAAGGCACCTGGAAGAAGAAACTGGTCGCTGTTTCAACAGACGGGGCTGCAGTCATGCTTGGAGTAAAGAGTGGCATAGTGACAAGACTGACTGCAGACCTGCCCCATGTGCTGCCCATTCATTGTATGCCTCATAGACTTGAGCTGAGTTTTAAGGATGCTGCCTCGAAGAATCCATGCCACAAGAAGCTGGATGCTCTCCTTACTGGACTCTACACATTTTACCACTACAGTCCTCTCAACCGGGCAAACTTGAAGGCCTCATTCGAATCACTGGGAAAGAAACCCCTGATGCCCACAAGAGCGACAGGCACCCGCTGGGTATCACACCTGTTGGCGGCCTTGGACCACTTCTTGCGAGGGTACTCTGCCATCGTTCAACATCTGGAACAGGTATATCCTTATGTGCACTGTTCAAATGGCATTATTTTAAAAATGATTTCTCAACAATGCTTGCAGCACAGAAAACTAAATGTCAGTTTGAATGCACTTAAAAAATGCACTTGATAAAGTAGGTCAAATCTCAAAAAAGAAATGAGCAGCAAGCAAAACTGTATTTTATTAAATGTGCACATTAAAGCTTGCAATCTGCTCTATTTATGCAAATATAAAATAAATAATGTCTTCATGTTGCTGTTTTTCAGATACAGTCCCCAGATTCCACCGGAGTACGCAGTGACCAGCAGGCCAAGGCCCGGAACTACTATCGTGCTGCAACATCCCTGGACGTGATAAAGTACGCATGGTTCTTGTTTGATGTCCTGGCTCATCTTTCCAACTTGTCACGCAAGATGCAGAAGACCAACGTGACGATGGCTGCATTGCATGAAGCCCTACAGTCAACCAAGACTGTGCTGCTGACTTACAAGAGAAAGTAAGCCTTCATTTTAAAATAAAACATATTTGGCCTTACAGTTTGACATCTATTAAATGTTCATTAACTTTGTGAACATTTATATAATCATTTTGTAACAAACATAAATTTCAGCAGTCTGTGTTTAGAACTTCTACTGCACTGGTGGAGTCTCCTTCAACAGTATCTGAAATAGACAATGTTAAAAAGTAGTATTCTAAACATATTAATTAAAATTTATAGCAGTCTATATTGTGTTAAACCAACCAATACTTTTACTTTCTCTTTGTAGGCCTGGCCCCATGCTACAGTCGTTCGGGAACAAGATGACCTTTGAGGGAAGGGAACTCTCGGGCGACGGTCGATCATTTCAGTCATCACACCCGAATCTCATTGATGACCTGGTGGCCAACATGGAGAACCGATTTGGGCATGTGAAAGGAGGGTTACTTCATGCCACAAACATTGCAGATTTTGGGTTCTGGCCTGACAAAGTAAACATGACGGGTTGGTTTTTTTGTTTCAATTTATGAACTGCCTCATTTTACTTTGATATGGTGACAGCACATTTTTTTTAAATGAAGAGGTAATGCTAGGACACCCCTTGGTTTTTAAAGAGTAAGGTTTTTTGATTAAATTTTTGTTATTTATTTTTTTCAGACTTTGGAGACGCAGCTGTTGACATCCTGGTAGGGCACTTCAAGCCTGTCCTGGAAGATGCAGGTGTGCAGGTGGACAAAGTTGCAGACGAGTGGACAACACTCCGATCCAAGGTGTATCAGCAGCCCGACTGGTTGGAGTTCATCAAGAAGGTGACATGGTGCGAACTGAACAGAAGGTACTTTGATGAGTGCCCAAACATTCTTCAGCTTGTGGACCTGCTACTGACCCTGCCTGCATCTACTGCTGAATGTGAAAGAGGTTTCAACCACATGAAAATGATAAAGAGTGACTGGCGGTCCAGCCTGTCAGGGAAGAGTGTGGGTGAGCTCATGTCGGTGCTGTTACTGTCGGCAGACATTAAAAACTTCGACCCAAAGCCAGCTATAAACATATGGTCTCATGATGTCCAACGGCGAAGGCGTCTTGATTTCATGGATGGCAAGACTTCCACTGCTGCTGAGATGGACGACGCAGAGCCAGAGGAAGATTTCATGTGCGTGGGTCAGGGTCGCTTGCTCTCCATGATGAGCAAGAAATATGACGATGAGCTTGACAAGGACTTTGAGGTGGAGTAACACTAGTCCACCACTAGCCAAATGTTCAGCCTGCATCACAATAGTGCCAGAGACTGACACAGTGCTGGTTGAAAAGTTTATGTGTGTGAATGTGTAGAAAATAAAGGTTTGTTACATTTAAAACGCTTCAGTTGTTATTTTGACTCGTTTTGGCAGTTGACCTGTGGGGCCGGTAGATTCTTGGTGGGGCCGGTAAATTTTCTGAGTTACCGGCCCGGCTGGCCGGTTGGTTTTGAAGTTAATGTCCACCCCTGTTAACAAATAAATTAAATCAAAGATATTGGTCAATAATGCCAAATATGTAAATTTGTGTTTCAGTCATTTTGATACTGGCTTAAAAATACTTCATTAAGTCTACTAAGCAGGGGTGTAGAAGGTGTTTAATAGGGCCAGCCCAGTAATGATCTTGGACCTAAATAAAGGGGGCAGAAGGAGATGTTTTTCCACACGCCAAGAAAAATTAAATACCAACCCCCCCCCCCCCCCCCCCCGCAAAGTGTGTCACTGAGAGTTTAAAACAAAAATTATTCTTGTGCAAATATTGGTGTATTCACCTTTAATACTAGTTATTAAAATGCAGCAGTTGCTGGATTAGTGCAGTTCAAGGTGGAGTGCGTCAAATAAAACAATAACATAAAAGTGAGATGTCATAACCCCCCCCCCCCCCACACACACACACACACACACACACACCACCACCACCACAGCTGGAAAAATTCCCAGGGGAAACGCTGAAAAATAATACAATGAGTAGAAAACAACAGGCTCCGCCCACTGCTCAGTCACTAAGTAACCCACTACTACTAATAATAATAATAACAACAATAAATCTCCCAAAATGCTAATTAGTAAGATTCCTTTGCTTTGTAGTGCTCTAGCCTGCTGAGAGCTTAAAAGTGAAAGATTGTTACTGACAGCAGCTACATCTAAGTGTTTATTCATTTTCCTTTAGACTGAATAGTTGCTGATTTTATCTTGGAGACGTTTCTCCTCACATCAGCTTCAGATCTAAAGCTTGGGTTGTGAGTAGGAGGCTTAGAAGTTCTGGTCAGAAACAAACACGCTGATTGTGATGGAAGTTTTTATTGTTCCTAAAGTAGAAATCTGTTTTTATCTAAATGAAGTTCATGTTCTTGTTCCTTTTTCCCACATCATGTAGCCAGTATCACTCATGGTGTACATATAAAGGTATGGTGGTCTGTAACATCATGTGTCTGTGTTTCCTACAGATGTTCCACAGCTGGTGCTGGTTAAAGAAGAAGCTCCTGAAGAACAGAGTGCTGGTGTGGACCAGCAGGACCCAGAACACCTCCACATAAAGGAGGAACAGGAGGAGCTCTGGACCAGTCTGGAGGGAGAGCATCTCTGTTTGAAGGAGGAGACTGAAGCTGTCGGGTTTCCTGTTACTGCTGTTTCTATAAAGAGTGAGGATGATGAAGAGAAACCTCTGGTCTCACAGCTTCATCAGCAGCAAATAGAAGACAGAGATGTTCCAACCAGCAGCTCAGCTGACCAGATGGCAGCAGAAACTGGTGGAGGAGCAGGAACTAGCAGGAACCCAGATCTGAACCCTCATGAACAAACATCTGATTCTTCAGAGACTGAAGTTAGTGGAGATGATGATGATGAAGATGATGATGATGGTGTGAATCTGGACTCTGAGCTGTCAGACTCTGGGTCTGAAACTGGAGATGAAGATGATGACTGGAATGAGAGCAGGTCTTCTGAGTCAGATGGTAAGTCTGTCAACAAGTTCTTCACAAGTGGTCTCTCCAGAGACACGTGAGGGAGACAAGTCATCCAGCAATAAGGTCTTCAGGCTGTTTGGTTCATCAGAAATGTGTTAGAGTGAAGCAACATGTAGACTCGTGCAGGAAAGTCCAGAAGAAACCTAAATCATTTAGTCATGATGAGTGTGGAGAAAGGTTTACTACAAATGTAAATAAACAAATCACATGAGAGTCCACACATAGCAGCTGCTGTTCCAGAGTATGGGCCAGCCTCATCCCACCCATACTCTGCTTCTGGCCGCTAACAAGATGGCGCCTGTGTTTGGAATAGCCACAGGTCCGTTTCCACATTCCCGCCTGGCCACGGGGCAGCGCTGTGTCTCCATCCATGTTTCCTCGGGTCTGTTTATCCTGGTTCTTCAGTGGTTTCCCTTCCTGTTCCCTCCATGAGTGGACTTTACACACCGTGGATCTGACCTGCTAACTCCAGCTGTTTCTGCTTCTGGCAGGATCCTGGTGTAGGTACCCAGGAGTCCAGATGCTGCAGGATGAAGTGTAGAGCCATGCTGATGGTGTAACGTGATGGAAGTGGTTACTTTTACTGAATGATCAATAAGATGTGATATTCCATCTAATTATAAATGATCAATCTTATTCAGGGTTCCCACGCATCCTGGAAAACCTGGAAAACCTGGAAAATGATAGTCCAATTTTCCAGTCATGGAAAACACATGGAAAATGGGGGGAATTGCAAAATGTCCTGGAAATTTTTGAGTTGTCCTGGAAAATAATTTCCCCTCCTTGTGGATAAACAAACGGATTATTGGGCAATATTGGGCTGCAGCGCTTCGCCTTTCATTTCTGCATCTAGCTGGCACAGTGCTCCACATGACGCTTCCAACCAATCAGATTGCATATTCCCCTTCAGTTCCAGTTCCACTTCTGTTTTTCTAACTGTCTTTTTTGCTAGATTTACAGATTTTTCACCCCTAGATTTATTTCCCCAAAGAAGGGCCAAAAGTAGCGACTCGGTTCACGAGTATTGCTTTATTCCAGTTTATAGAGTGAGAGGTTTTTCTCCTTCTCTCTGTTGAGTGACAAAGGAGCAGCGGAGAGTTTTTGTTTTTTTCACTCTGCGTTGAGACGAGCGAACCTGACGAGAGCTTCAGGATAGCAACGGATAGCAGGTAGTCTACCGGACCCGCGCTCCACTCAGTAATTCATACAAGTTTTATCATCCGACAGCAGAAACAAAAATATGTGAATGAGAAAAATGTCATGAATTTGATTCTATCAAAAATACTAAGTATGTGCTCAGAGGACAGAGCCTCAGCTGTTCATACTCTTTTTAGCTAGCTACACAGACCGCAGCCAGGAGGCAGTGAGAACTGAAGACTGGCATGGTCATTTGAACAAAGTTGTTAACGTAATTAAATTGAATTCAACACGGCTAAATTAATAACTAGAATGATTTTAAGTGGTAACTATATATTTATCATAGTAATGCTACGTACAGTCCAGACTAAAAAAGTAGCGAACAACTACAAGTACTTATCTCTTGAGGTAGAAAAAAAATGTTTTTCAGGTCCAATATGTCTGTGGTGTTAGCGGGAGATATTAGCCTAGTCATCTACCCTGAATCTTGTTTCTGGATGACTGGACTAACCTAAAATGACCAATACTGGAACAACAAAATGCAGTTTAACATCTAACTATGTGAAATAAGCAGTAAAGTGTAATGTGGTGTGTACAGTAAGTATAATACATAGAATATGAAAGATATGAAAGAGCTAAGGTTTGAAAAGCAGGCCTAATTTATTGAATAAACAGTCAATATAAACAGTAACAATCTTTCAAAATATGTCTTTGTGTCCTTTATAGGCAGGAGAGTGTGATGTCAGGAAGACGGTGCAAATTCAAAACTTTTCAAAACTGGCTTTTTGCTAGCCCCAAGACTCTCTGCCTGTGTGTTGGGGTTTACCCCGGGGGACGAGAGGGTAGCTTCCCTGTGCCTTCGGGTTGGGGAACAGGTCCTGACTGTTGTTTGCGCTTATGGGCCAAATATCATTTCAGAGTACCCACCCTTTTTGGAGTCCCTGGGACGAGTGCTAGATAGTGCTCCATCAGGGAACTCCATTGTCCTACTGGGGGACTTCAATGCTCACGTGGGCAATGACAGCATGACCTGGAGGGGTGTGATTGGAAGGAACGGCCTGCCTGATCTGAACTCGAGTGGTGTTTCATTATTGGACTTCTGTGCAAGCCGCAGTTTGGCCATAACGAACACCATGTTCGATCATAAGGATGCCCATCGGTACACTTGGTACCAGGGCAGCCTAGGTCGCAGGTCGATGATAGACTTTGTAATCGTATCATCTGAACTACGACCGTATGTTTTGGACACCCGAGTGAAGAGAGGAGCGGAGCTGTCAACTTATCACCACCTGGTGGTGAGTTTGATCAGATGGCAGGGGAAGATGCTGCATAGACCTGGCAGACCCATATGCATAGTGAGGGTCTGCTGGGAACGCCTGGCAGAAGAACCTGTCAAGACGGTCTTCAACTCCCACCTCCGGCAGAGCTTTGACCGCATCCCGAGAGCAGATGGGGACATTGACTCCGAGTGGGCCTTGTTCCACTCTGCGATTGTTGAGGCGGCTGCTGTTAGCTGTGGTCGCAAGGTGGCCGGTGCCAGTCATGGTGGCAACTCCCGTACCCGCTGGTGGACACCAGAGGTTCGGGGAGCCGTCAGGCTGAAGGAGGCCTACAAGGCGTGGCTGGTCTGTGGGTCTCCGGAGACAGCAGGGTGCCAATGCCAAGCGGGGTGCAGCAGTGGCAGTTGCCAAGGCAAAACCTCGGGCGTGGGAGGAGTTTGGTGAGGCCATGGAGAAAGACTATCGATCGGCTCCAAAGAGGTTCTGGCAAACTGTCCGGCGCCTCAGGAGAGGAAGGCAGCAACTCGCTCACACTGTTTACAGTGAGGATGGGGAGCTGCTGACGTCAACTGGGGCTATAGTCAGACGGTGGAAGGAATACTTTGAGGAGCTCCTCAATCCCTCCTACGCGCATTCCGAGGAGGAACTAGAGCCAGGAGACCTGGAGATGGATTGTCCAATCTCAGGGGTAGAAGTTGCTGAGGTAGTCAAACAACTACACAGCGGCAGAGCCCCGGGGGTGGATGAGATTCGTCCTGGGTATCTCAAGGCTATGGATGTTGTAGGGCTGTCATGGTTGACATGTCTCTGCAACATTGCATGGTCATCAGGGGCAGTTCCTGTGGAGTGGCAGACTGGGGTGGTGGTCCCCATCTTTTAGAAGGGTGACCTGAGGGTGTGTTCCAACTATAGGGGGGTCACACTCCTAAGCCTCCCTGGAAAAGTCTACTCCAAGGTACTGGAGAGGAGGGTCCGATCAATAGTTGAATCTCAGATAGAGGAGGAGCAATGTGGTTTTCGTCCTGGCCGTGGAACTGTGGACCAGCTCTATACCCTTGCAAGGGTGATGGAGGGGGCATGAGAGTTTGCCCAACCAATCCACATGTGTTTTGTGGATTTGGAGAAGGCTTATGACCGTGTCCCCGGGGGCTCTCTGTGGGGGACGCTCCAGGAGTATGGGGTGGGTGGCTTACTGTTAAGGACCATTCAGTCCCTTTACCAGAGGAGCGTAAGTTAGGTCCACATAGCTGGTAGTAAGTTGGACCTGTTCCCGGTGAGGGTTGGACTCCGCCAGGGCTGCCCTTTGTCACCGGTTCTGTTCATTACCTTTATGGACAGAATTTGTAGGCGCAGCCGTGGTGTGGAGTTTGTCGAGTTTGGTGGCAGGAGAATCTTGTCTTTGCTTTTTGCGGATGATGTGGTCCTCCTAGCTTCATCCAGCTCTGACCTACTGCTCTTGCTGGGTAGGTTCGCGGCCGAGTGTGAAGTGGCTGGGATGAGGATCAGCACCTCCAAATCTGAGACCATGGCTCTCAACCGGAAAAGGGTGGCTTGCCAACTCCAGGTCGGGAGAGAGGTCCTACCTCAAGTGGAGGAGTTTTAAGTATCTCGGGGTTTTGTTCACAAGTGAGGGTAGGAGGGATCGGGAGATCGACAGGCGGATTGGTTCAGCGTCTGCAGTGATGCGGACGTTGAGCCGATCTGTCGTGGTGAAGAGGGAGCTGAGCCAGAAAGCCAGGCTCTCGATTTACCGGTCAATCTACGTCCCAATCCTCACCTATGGTCATGAGCTTTGGGTAATAAACGAAAGAACGAGATCGCGGATACAAGTGGCCGAAATGAGTTTCCTCTATAGGGTGGCCGGGCTCAGCCTTAGAGATAGGGTGAGGAGCTCGTACATTCGGGAGGGACTCTGAGTAGAACCGCTGCGCCTCCGGATCGAAAGGAGTCAGTTGAGGTGGTTTGGGCATCTGGTCAGGATGCCTCCTGGACGCCTCCCTGGGGAGGAGTTTCGGGCATGTCCTGCCGGCAGGAGGCCCCTGGGTCGACCCAGGACACGTTGGAGAGGTTACGTCTCCAATCTGGTCCGGGAACGCCTTGGGGTCCTGCCGGAGGAGCTGGTGGAGGTGGCCGGGGAGAGGACGGTCTGGAGCTCCCTAGTTGGGATGCTGCCCCTGCGACCTGGACCCGGATAAGCGGAGGAAGACGATGACGATTTCAATCAGCACAGTGAATTAACCTGGTTCAGTTGCTGAGCAGAACAAAAACATGACATGGAGATGACTTGATGATGCCACAATGTCACATCTCTGGTATGAACTAAAGTAGAGATTAACTTCTGTTTTAGTTGTGTTGCATTGTAAGTAGAGGAAAGCAGGTGGGATTGTGAAAGACAAAAATCTTTTCACAACTATATTGTCAAAATAACGGTACGGTATAGGTAGGTACAATATCATATAAGTTTCTAAATATATCGGGATATCGGCAAACCGTAGTTATGATAACTTGACTTGTACACTGGAAAAGTCTACTCCAAGAAAAGAGTGGGAACCCTGTTATTGGTCTTTGAAT